GGGGACACCATGGGGACACCATGGGGACATGGGGACACGGGGCACGGGGGGACACGGCGTCCTGCAGCGCATCGCGGCGCCCAACATGAAGGCCATGGAGAAGCTGGAGAGCGTCCGCGACAAGTTCCAGGAGACCTCGGACGGTAGGGGACATGGGGACACCATGGGGACACTGCGGGGACACATGGACGCTGTGGGGACATGGGGAGCATCTGCAACAAGTCCCAGGAGACCCTCGCTGTCCCCTCTGTCCCCAGAGTTCAAGGCCACCCTCAAGCGCGCCAAGAAGGCCAAGCAGGTGTTGGAGCTCCCTCATTGTCCCTCATTGTCCCTGCTGACCCTCCCTGTCCCTCATTGTCCCTCTTTGTCCCTCTGTGTCCCCAGAGTTCGAGGCCGCCCGCGAGTGTGCCAAGAAGGCCAAGCAGGCGTTGGAGCTCCCTTGTTGTCCCCTCATTGTCCCTCCCTGTCCCTCATTGTCCCTCCTTGTCCCCAGAGTTGGAGGCTGCGCTCAGCTGTCCCTGCTGTCCCTCCTTGTCCCTCCCTGTCCCTCCCTGTCCCTCCTTGTCCCTCATTGTCGCTCTGTGTCCCCAGAGTTCGAGGCCGCCCGCAAGCGCGCCAAGAAGGCCAAGCAGGCGTTCGAGCAGATGAAGAAGGAGCGCTTCGACCGCTTCACCGCCTGCTTCGAGGCCGTGGCCACCAACATCGACGACATCTACAAGGCCCTGTCACGGAACAGCAGCGCCCAGGTGCGCCCGGCGCGCGCGTCCCCTCCGCGGGGTGGCCTGGCACCGGGGCGTCCCCTTGGCGTGGTGTCCCCTCGTCATGGGGTCCCGTCCTTGTGGTGTCCCTCCATCATGATGTCCCGTCACCAGGATGTTCTATCATCATGGTGTCCCCTCATCATGGTGTCCCATCGTTGTGGTGTCCTTCCATCATGATGTCCCCTCGTCATGGTGTCCCTCCATCATGATGTCCCATCACCACGGTGTTCCATCATCATGGTGTCCCTTCATCATGGTGTCCCTCCATCATGGTGTTCCTCTATCATGATGTCCCATCACCAGGCTGTCCCCTCCATCATGATGTCCCCTCATCATGGTGTCCCATCACCAGGCTGTCCCCTCCATCATGATGTCCCATCACCAGAGTGTCCCCTCATTGTGGTGTCCCCTCATCATGGGGTCCCGTCGTCATGGTGTCCTTCCATCACAGTGTCCGCTCATCATGGTGTCCATCCATCATGATGTCCCATCGTTGTGGTGTCCTTCCATCACAGTGTCCCCTCATCGTGGTGTCCCTCCATCATGATGTCCCATCACGAGGGTGTCCCATTACTGAGGTGTCTCCTCATCGTGGTGTCCCCTCATCAAGGTGTCTCTCCATCGTGATGTCCCATCATGAGCGTGTCCCATTACTGAGGTGTCCCCTCATCATGGTGTCCCATCACCAGGGTGTCCCATCATGAGGGTGTTCCATCATGGAGATGACTCCTCGTCATGGTGTCCCACTATCTTGGTTGACCCCTCATCGTGGTGTCCCCTTGTCATGGTGTCCCATTGTTGTGGTGTCCATCCATCATGGTGTCCCATCGCCATGGTGTCCTATCATTGTGATGTCCCCTCATGGAGGTGTCCTCTCATCATGGTGTCCCATCATTGTGGTGTCCTTCCATCATGGTGTCCCGTCATCATGGTGCCCCATCACTGAGGTGTCCCTTCAATGTGGTGTCCCCTCATCGTAGTGTCCCCTCATCATGATGTCCCGTCGTTGTGGTGTCCTTCCATCACGGTGTCCCCTCATCGTGGTGTCCCTCCATCGTGATGTCCCATCACCAGGGTGTTCCATCA